TATAGGGGGAATGCTGAACTCTGGAAATTACTATGAAGATAATTAATATATTTGTGTGTGTTGTGTTATATTATTTTTGTTTTCATTTTTTTAAATCATTTTTAGAATAGTCCGGACTGTTTGGCTGAACCAGTTCTCCAATGGTACCAGGATGGCAGAAACTACACATCAAACTCATTTGCTTTGAAATATAAAGAAATATAAAAATTGAATATCTTCATCTGCAGCCTCATTTGATGAGGTTCCATGATTTTAGTGGTAGAATGGCCACACGGCTGAATGCACTTATTGTAGCTTTGGATAAAAGCGTCAGCTAAATAAAGGTAACATAATGTAATTAATGTCCTTACTGACACTGTCATTATATGTTCTATGAAATATGTATTCATATAACTCATCTTGAAGCTGTCTCATTCTGACATGTAGATTGTTGGTGTTTAAAACACAGAAAAACAAATCAACACAGAAGAAAAGAAAAGAACAGCTCACACATGGAACAGGTTGTGCTGTTGTTTCACTTATTTATTTCATAATTGTCATTGTGTATTTACTCTTTCTCATTTGCTTCCTGACATGTTCATGCTCTTGTTTTATTTTCTGATAATGTTGCGTTCATGAATTTGTTCCTGACTTTGTTGTGAACCCTAATGGTTCTGAACGTAGCCAACACAACTTTCATCATATGATTTAATATTTTTATTTTCAAATGCCTTCAAAAAACAGAAACAACATGGCTCAAACATTAAGTTTTCATTATAAGTTATAACTTATTTATTCACATTAACTTGTTTTTTTCTGTGAAATACACAACGTGTTAATGATCCACAGTTTAAATAACATTTTTTTGTATTATTTCCATAACCTATTATTTACAGTTCCATCGTGGAAGCGGAGGATCTCTCCCATGTTTGTCCCTTCTGTGGGCAGCCTCATATCAGTGATAAGTATGAAGTGGCACAGGACCCTGACTCTTATAGGATCACCACAGTTCCCTTTAAGTGTTGTGTCCAATTTTATTGGACGACCTCTCTGGACATTCGAAAGCTGTTCAACGCGGCCACAGATGCAGCACAGCAGCCAGTCTCTCAGGGGCCCAACAGTCCCAGGTGGAGTCCTACACTGTGTTATGAGGACTCATGGCGTGCCTCAGCTCTGCAGCTCCCTCTCTCTGGAGGCCTCCGTGGGCGCCGTGAAGACGCTGTCGTGCAGCTTCCGGATGTGTTTCTTCAGGTCAAAGTTGCGGCAGAAGCCCTTCCCGCAGGTGGCGCAGGTGAAGGGCTTCTTGTCGTTGTGTGTGTGCATGTGGAAGGTCAGGTTGTAGACCTGGTGGAAGGCCTTGTTGCAGATGGAGCACTTGTATTGCTTCTCCCCGCTGTGCGTCAGCTTGTGATTCTTGTAGTTTCCTGGGAGACGAAGAAAAGGAAGAATAAACAATGATTTTCCTCATTGATTATGATTTGATTCTTTAAGTTTCATCATAAAATATAAAAAAATAGTGAGAAAAGTCAAGTCATGTCTCCACATTTATTCTGGCCAACCCACAAGTATTTCATGAGGAAGTTGGAAGCAGCTGTTTGGTTATTGTTTTACAGGTAATCCGCGGTGTCACAATGTGAATAACATCACATCAGTGAAGAAGACATTCCGTAACACAGGCCGACATCTTCCTGTGTGAACAACAGCCCTGAGTCCATCACTCAACATACGCTTCTTTCCTCTGCAAGACAAGAGGTGGAATCCCGACCGGACAACATTTCATCTATAAAAACAATCACTAAACAGAACAGCACAAAAAACCCACTTATGAATCTTATGAATTATTAGCCAGTCTGTGAAGTCATCTGGATTATTTAAAAATAATTCCACATGTACACATTGTGGTTTCCTGACTTTCTTTCTTCTAAAAACAAAGAAGTCAATGATGCTTGATTGAAGAAAAGCTAAAAGCACTGAATGGATGGACTGATGTCCCCCACTGGCACATGTCCCCACCGTGAGATCACAGTTAAATAACTAGAACAGAGGCATCATCTTTTTAAAGGAGGGCTGAAGAAAAGCAGGAGGGGAAAGTGACACTGTTTACTGGGAATCTAAGAAAGCGAAGACGCAAGAGGCCTCTTTTTCTTCTCCAGCCCCTCCCGCCAAGGTCAGCGGTTGATTGTGAAGCTGCTCCGTCTCTTCAGTAATCAGGGTTTTGTGTGTCGGAAGTCAAGAAGTTGTCAAACTTTGTCAGAATCAAGCTTATAGCGACAACTTGACGAAGAGAATAAGCCCTGATTCTCATCTTTGCCGAGGTCTCGCAGCTGACCCAGAGCAAATGCTGCCGTCTTTGGAGGAGAATTAGTCCACGGAAAGTGACATGTCCTATTTCCACTGATCGCATCACGCTCATCGGCGGGCCTGCAATTATTCACCCCTTCATTCCTCTCTAAGAGCGGCAGCATATGGTGCTGCTTCCAGTCCAGACTCCCAGGATTCCTTCACAGTCAACTAAAGTAGAAGCTGTCATTGTTTAGAGGCCCAAAGAAAGGCAAGGACATACTGCACGTGATGGCATATTTAGAACGAAAAATACATGTAAGAATAGAATAATACGATGAACAACTAGAAATATAGCATGAAGAGAGTGTAATATTATATTAGGAGACAATCCAGCAGCACAGGGATATAATATATCATCTTAAAACAGGAAGATAATAAATATTATGTCAAGATTGGAAAATTCAATAATCTCATCAAACGCAGAGGTTGTTTTAAAAATATATTTTAGGAGCTAACATTAGAGGGAAATAAAGATTGGAGTAGTTGCTTTATACCAACAGTGGTCTGTGGAGCGCAGACCACTAACCACAGACATCGGAATATATGGACCGTTATAGGGCCAACACTAACGACAACATGCAGTACAAGCGCCATATAAATATGAAAAGCTGCCCAAAGTCTTTGGAGTAATAATGCTCATTTAAATTCATTTGAAATATGGCATCGGGCGGATCGTTACCTTTCTGGTGGAAACCTTTCCCGCAGAACTCACAGACGAAAGGTTTGTAGCCGGCGTGGATCCGCACGTGAGTGTTGAGCGTGGAGCTCCTGTTGAACGCCTTCCCACACTGGTTGCATTTATGAGGCTTTTCCTGAACAGGAAAAAAAAATCTGTTAAAACAAAATCAAATTAAATGTAGGATTTATTTAAAGACACGATGAAAAAGAAGGACACAAAGCATGAGTTCGCGTGCGCTGCGTCTCACCTGTGTGTGGATGATCTTGTGTCTGCACAGCGTGCTTGCCTGCCGGAATCCTTTACCGCACACTTTGCACACGAAGGGCCGGGCCCCGGTGTGCACCGGCATGTGTCTGGTCAGGTTGTAATGCGCGTTAAAAACCTGACACGGAAACACCGAGGATATGAATTATCATTGAGACAAAACACCAGCGGCTTTGAGTCAGAAATAAAAATGATCTCATTTAGATCATCTGGAATTTAATCTGGTTCATTTTTTGTTATTTAATTTAATTTTTCGTTTTAATCAGAAACATTGGGATATCATTTGATTTAAAATGATAATATTTAATAGTAACAATTTGCTGTTATTATTGTTAATAATAATAACAATAATTGTAGATCTCTAAAGTACAGTAGGCCTATATTATTTATAATAAATAATATAGGCCCTTTAGCGATCTAAAATCCCTTTAGAACGAAATATGTATATTTTATACACGTAAAAAGCGCAAAAAAACAAGTTACCTTTCCACACACTTCACATGTGAAGTTTTTGGGTTTCCCGTCTGCAGCGCTGGTGCAGCTGCTGCTGAGTTTGCTGTGCGTCTTAACGCCGTTCTTCTCGGCGCTCAGGCCGTGGTTCTCCTTCACTATCTGGTCCAGCTGCCCCGGCAGATGTTCCTTGTGCGGGTACTGTGGTGTGGGCAGCTTCTCGGACCCCACCGCGGCAAGTTTGGCGTTCTCCAGCAAAAGTCTGTGGTGCGCCGACAGAGAGGCCTGGGCCTGCGGGTTGGAGAACCAGTGTCCGGCCAACAGCTCCGACTGCTGGTACGCGGAGTCCAGGTAATTGAGATAGTACAGCGAGCCGCCGCTGGGCACAGCCACGGCCTGGTGGATGACCTGCGGTTTCACCACCCGGCTCCCCGACGACAGCAGCGGCTGCTTCAAGCCCGACTCCGCTTTGCCGCACATGCCGCAGTTCCCTTTGCACGGCGCGGCTGCGGTACCACAAAAAGTCCCCCTGAAGCTGGCTCTCCACAGCTCCGAGTAGTTCATAAGCGCCTTGGCCTGCAGGTCGTAGCTGAAGGGCTGCAGCGGGAACACGCAGGGGATCGGGGAGTAGAGCCCCAGCAGCTTCTTCCCCTCGGACCGCTCCTCCGCGCTCCCCCTCGGCTCCGAGCTCTTGGACATGATCCGGTCTATGGAGAAGGCGAGGGTCTTGGGAGCCGCGGACGGCCCAGTCCTACCGCAGGACATCACCGTCTCCAGGGAAGCAGAACTTGCCATTTTTTTTGTTGTTGCAGTTTTTTGTTTAGTTCGCAGCAGAGCAGAACTTAGTGTGAGTCCGACCCGCTCCTCCAGCTGCCCGCGTCCTTTCACTCTCCTGAGCTCCCGAAAGAAAAGACAGGAGGACACATCAGTTTAATAAGCACCTTGCTGTCACAGTGTCACGCATTTGCATTCAAATGGCCATCCCCCCCCCCCCCCCGCAACAATAGCATCCAGGGGTGATGGATTAATGCTCATTAACTAGCGCACACAACATTAACAGGACATTAGCTCGTTAGGGAGAAGAAGAGGAGGAAGAGGAGGAAAAAAAGACAAAAAGAAAAGAAAATGTTGTAGTCGGAGCTCCCAGAGAATGCGGAGCATGGAGTTGAGTTTACCTCTTCAGTGGTCAGATGAGTGTGGAGAAACCAGCAGACTGCTCTCTGTCACATGTTGGCAGCGCCCGCCCCCCTCAGCCCGGATCACTGTCTCCTCAGCGGGCACCCGAACTCTTAACTGGGTGACAGGGAGACGCCCTCACCAACCTGCACGCGGGGGGGTTGTACATAAATATGAAAAAATTCCCTCTAGATAAATAGGTGGAAATATTATTATCATAATTGTGTTTTCATCATTAACGCGCATTTGAAAGTTGATCAACTTTCCTGCTTTCATTTGGTTTAAGACACATCATCTTTTTTAATTCTTTTTCCACTTTGGGAATTTTTTTCAGGAGAAAAACTGCTGTGCTAATCCTCGGAGATGGGATCGCTCCTTGTCCACGCCGGCTTATATACTTACTTACTATTTGTATAAAATTCGAGGACGTCCAATTTCCACCTGTTTAAGAGCAGAGACTCCCTTTGGATCCTATTAAACGCTGTTCCTCCTTCCCTCTATTCAAAAGAAGCAATTTTCCAGAGCGATTCAAGGCTCAACTCAGCGCAAAGAGGGGGAAAAAGAAAAACACAAGCTCTTTCACTTTTAGCCACTAAAGCACCGCGTGAACCTGTTTTTTCTGAAATAGAGGGACGGATTAAAGAGGGAGAGGAAAAATAAAAGACTTAGCTTGGACAGAAAGGACAAATGAAAAGAGAGGCTTTCTTCTCCTCTAAAGAGGCACACAAGACGTTTGCTGGAATCCACCGTGTTGTGTGGGAGTTACAACGAGCACCAGCTTCTCTTCTATTCGCCACGAGGGCCGCGTTCAATTCATGTGTTTGCAGCCATTTCACCTGAGGGACTCCCATCGAGCCGGAGGGCGCGAGGCTGGGGAGTAAAGGGACACGAAGAACCTTAATATCATCATCATCATCATCATCATCATCATCATCAATCCCTCCACGTAGATCTGTCATGCACATATTTCATTTTACATGGTACTTTTTTTTTAATTGTCTCTGAAAATATACAAAAACAAATTTGGGATAATTATGTTGTTATTTCCATGTGAAAGATAGCCCAGCCTTTGGGCTCACTACAGCGGGCATGTGAGGGTTTAAAAACGCAACAGCATTGTCAACACTCTGTAGAATGCACTCTCAGAATACAATGATTTATATGTGCTAATTGTGCCATTTACTTAATGGTTAACAAAGCATACATCTGTGTTTATCCTGCTCCAGCACATCACTGACCTTCAGAGAAAGTGATGCAAAGCAGATATCCATCTATGACCAACATCTTGTATATCTCATATGTCAGGCCTGTGATGGGCTGGTGACTCTCAGCTGATATGCACGGAGGGACAACCACAGACTGGATGTTTTCTTTAATAAGTATAAATCACATTATCATTGTTTGATATAAAAACTAATCACCTGCCAAAGGATAATGTTTCTGATTTTTGTCACAATTGTTTTTTGCTCTTTGTGGGGTTTTCTAATATTTTAAACTCTCATTATCCACACAAATTGTAAATTTGTGTCATTAAATCTGCTCTGCACGCTTTGGAATGAATTATTCAAACCTAAGACGTTACGGTTTTTTCCATGACTTGTGGCACTGCTGCTACCTTTGAACTTTGCAGTTTCCACCAGAGTTTAAATAATCTTCTGTGAGTTTGAGCATGATGTCAGCGTCTGTTGATTTAAGTCATGATTCTGTGTTCAAACCATTTGAAGTGACTTGTACAGCTGTTTGATGAAACCGCATAAACACTGACGCATTGCTCAGCTGGACTTTAAAGGAGGCTTTTGTACAAAGTTAACGCATGAAGGGAAACTAAATGTGGTTTTGGGTTGGCGAGCGTTTTCACTGCTCCACTGAGTCGCTGTGCCTCTTGGTCAGGTTTCTGCTGTAGGTGGAGGACGGTGATGATTCCCCTCCAGCCTATAGACTCAGTGCTATACTTAGCCCAGCATGTTGCCGTCCTATAACACTAGTTTTCCTGTTAATAACCTTAAAAAACATCCCTACTCTGTTTTGTTTTACACCTGCAGCCCAGCATGCAGGATTACTGCCTGTTGTCTTGGTGCCAATCATATGTAAATAGGGCAAAAATACTGTAATTTGAGTTTATTCAGGCACCATTGCCAGCTCATCCACACAATAAACATTGATCCTATTGCTGTCACCAGGCCCCTCCATTCAGCTCTAACAACAATTAGCTCAAGCATTGATTTAAGGGACTCTTGCTTCTTGCCTGCAGGCATGCAGTGGTCACAAACACCGGCAGGTGTTTTCAATGCTCTCTGTTTTTTCAATCAATTATACAATAACTATATAATAACTTGGAGCCAGTGGCAGATTTTATGACCTTGTAGTTTGAATCTAGAGTCTTCACTGAGTCAGTAGACTTTGTTTTAGTCCCGCTTGTATCAGTTCTTGAAAACTTCTTGTCTTTTTCAGGGTCACAGGAAAGCCGGGTCAGCATAGAAATAAAAGGTACATTAGCATTTAGGATTAAGACCACGTTATAAAATACTGTAATCAGCATGTTTGTGTTTTTTAAAAGAGGATAAGGAAAGCTGCTCTTATTGTGAAAATCCTTCAGTTAGACTAAACAATAAGCACAGTTTAAGCCATTCCACAAACACCTGTGATCCGTCCCTCCTTCACTCATTCACTGTCCCACATAATGAACAACAAATAGTTTACAGAATCAGTGCCCAGTTGAGATTTTGGACACATTTTGGAAAAAAAAATAAAAACACTCAACTAAAGTATAGCTTGGCATAAATAACTCTCATCACAATGTCCAACTTACTTACTCAAGTCTTCAGCAATGTCTTCTATCTTCTTCCTGCAGCAATTCCTCAGTTGTCATGGAAATGCCGTATTTTGTTATCATGTGACCTGAGCGTTGACGTTCGGTCATGTGGTAACATGTATATAACATCATCATCTTTGAAATATCATCATCTATGATATAACATGTATATAACCCTATACATGAATGAACATGTATTAATGAAACTAATTATTAAACTAAAGCTATCGTAGGTGATGCACTGCATTGTGGGATTTTTTCTCCATTGTGTTTGTTTTAGGGATACAGATTTCGCACGATGCCTCAAGCGTTGTGCCACGATTGACTGATAAATGAATGGAAGCTGTGTTTGATTTTATAGACGTTTATCACACAAGACATTTTAACACATGATGGCTGGATTCCATTTAGCTGCTTTGCTTTCAGGGTCCTGGTATTGTGCATGCTGGCTCACTTATGGACACATGACTTGATCAGGATGGATTTTGTCACAATCACGCTTTGCCTTGTGTGTTTTGTGTGTTTTTCTGTAGCTCCTCACTTCCTTCACCGGTCCGACCGACTCCAGCTGTCGCTTCCGTGCTGCAGCCGCTCCCGGCCGCCGCCGTCTCCGAACAGCAGCGACCTCCAGTCCCGGCCGCCGTCGCTTCCGTGCCGCAGCGACCTCCAGCCGCCGTCGCTTCCGTGCCGCAGCGACCTCCAGCCGCCGTCGCCTCCGTGCCGCAGCGACCTCCAGCCGCCGTTGCCTCCGTGCCGCAGCGACCTCCAGCCGCCGCCTGTTCCCCGTCTGATCTCCGGCCCCTGGAGACCCGTTCCCCGTCTGATCTCCGGCCCCTGGAGACCCGTTCCCCGTCTGATCTCCGGCCCCTGGAGACCCGTTCCCCGTCTGATCTCCGGCCCTTCGAGACCCGTTCCCCGTCTGGTCTCCGGCCCTTCGAGACCCGTTCCCCGTCCGGTCCCCGGCCCCTCGAGACCCGTTCCCCGTCCGGTCCCCGGTCTCTAGAGTTCCGTCCTCCGGAGCCCCAGTCTCCACAGTCCGGCGTTGTTCTGTCATGGTGCCATGTCTGCTTATTGTAAAATTATAGTTGGACAATTGACTTTTTTGGTGACCTTTTGCTTTCTCTTTAGTTGGTTCAGTCAAGAAATGTCCTATTCTAATTTCAAAGAGGTGAATTGAGAACAGATAAATTCAGATGCATAATTTATAAGAAAGATATATTAATGAATTCAGTGGTGTTTAAATTGTAATATTAAGTGGCTGTTAAAATTCTAATCATTTTGTCTCTTATTTCCTTTCATCCTGTATTTTTGTGATGTCATTGACAACGTAGGTATTTTTGTGTTGGTTTGTCAGAAGTGTGATGCAGCCTGGACTCCTGCCTCTTTGCTCTGCATCAAGGAACAACATGGAAGGAATGAATCATGTAATCCATACTGGCTTTGATTAGCTGTCCTGAAATGTACATGTACTAAAGCCTTTTCTGTGTTTATTTTTTTTCTCTTAAACACAAATTTGTGTATTATATTCTTTAATCAAATAACATTTCATTTTGTCAGACGGGCTGCCTGCCAGAAGAACGGCCTGGACACAAAGCTCTGGACGTTTAGACTGCAGGTCGTCACAACTCAATACCATTTCACTGATGTTTTGTAGTTTTATTTCGGCCAAGTTGTTGTATGGCTTCTTGTGTTGAGCATCACTTTCAAATTAAGAACTTTGGCTTCTTTTCCTTTACATGTTAATATTTTACAAAGTACGAGTATTACAAAAAAGTCATTGTTTTTAAATGAGTACCGAAATAGCGATATTGTAAATTGATACCCAGCTCTGTAGTTTATCCGACTCTGATGAAGTAGCAGAGTGTTTGGAGAAGAAGCCCTGTCTCCAGTCAAACTCACC